CTAAAACTCTCAACCCTAAACCCCTAAACCCCTAAACCCTATGCTGCAGCCCAGGGCCTTGCCTGAAGCCCAGAGATCTCCAAGGCCTCATCCAGGTCGAGCGATCCGCCCTCGAGCTGGCCATTGAACAGCCTGGAAGGCTGGCTGGGGGATTTAGGGGCTTGGGGTTCAGGGTTTAGGGGTTTAGGGTTGAGGGGTTTAGGGTAGATATTGGCGTTATGATGGAGAAGAAGATGGACACTACTGTACTATCATACGGCATGTGTATATATATATATATATGTATATAGACATGTATATTATATACATATATATATATATGCTTATATACTGGGGGTTATACTGGGGATATATAGGGATAATGGAAAAGGAAATGGAAGCTACTATAATGGGGTTATATAGGGTTTGGGGTTTAGGGTTTAATTTTTGGGGGATTGGGGCGATTCAAGGGATTTGGGGTGTAAGGGGTTTGGGCTTAAGGGTTTAAGGGCTTGAGGGATTGGGGAGAGTTAAGGGGTTTTGGGGCTTAAGGGTCTTTGGGCATTGGGTCAGGGTGTTGGGGGTTCGAGTTTGCAGTTTTGGGTGTGGGGAATTGAGAGTTGTTCCTCTTGACGGGGAAGGGTTTCAGGTCTGGGGCAGCTTGTTTTTCCTCAAATTCTGCATAGAATTGCAAGTATGGAGTACTTGGAGGTACTATAGAAATAGCAATCAGAATACGGGTGACCTCCGGATTGTGAGAACGGGGTTAGAACAGACGAAACCCACACTTAGACACTTCCAAGTTAAGCCGTTCTGGTCCGGTGTGAAACTACTAGGATTCACTACGGCACAAGCTCTCGCTTGCTGGTCACGGACATTTGACGCCGCAAGGAGAGATTCTACATCACGTGCAGCATAAGCGTACAGAACCCTTGACAATCGAAATGATCTTCGCAGCCCTACGCCTCAAGCCTAAAAACAGTTCTGGGAGGGGGTGCGCCCACAGGCGGCCTGTAAGCTACGTCTCGATCCTTTGCCCATCGCACCTTGGCTCAAGGGACGCAAGTTGAAATCGCACACATTCAGCTCTGCTACATCTTACATCTGTGCTAGGGCATGAAAGACTCCAGCCATCCAATGCGCGGGTTTGATCCAGATTGGATGAAACTTCATAAAAGCCTCTTATGATCCGATGTCCAGTCCAATCATTCTTGGAGCAAGGGTTGGAGATTCATCGGCCTGCCCGAGTCCTCTAGGCTTTGATTGTTGAGCCTCGGGGTCAACGGCCTGCAGCAAAACGCGGCGCCAGACACTGAATTCTCTATCTGCCCTGCATGAATGCCCCAAAGCAAGAAGGATACTGACAGACACATGACTGTGCACTTGGTCTTGTCACGCCGCCAAACCCCGCATTATCTCACCAACCTCTACAAGTCACCGATACCCGTACAAACCCTAAACCCTAAACCCATGATAGTAGTTCATTTCAATTTTCCATTATCCCAATATAACCCCAGTAAATTCCCACCATAACCCGAATATATACCCTATTATATAGTAGTTTCCAATATATATATATATATATTAGCTTCAAATATATTTTCCACGTTAAACATTGTAAACCTACCGACCCTCAATGCTAAACCCTCCAGCTTCTATCCTCATGCACTTGGGGGCTTACCCAAGACTACTACTTTTTTTTGGAGTCCCTATAATGAGGATCACAATATGTTGGGGTATATTTTGGGGTCCCTTCACTTAAAATGGAAACTGGCACTTAAGATCCTGGCTCCCTCCCCGGATTGAACCAGGTTGGCGTCGAAGGTGGAGACGTCACATTCACCAGTTCTGAGACACATTGACATGCAGCTTGGGCTCTTAATTCTAGGGCCTAGAATGCAAGGCTGTAGGGCTGCAGGGCTTTGGCTTTAAGAGGTTCAAGATCTCAGAGTCATGAGGGGAGGAGTCTTGATCAACAGCAGCAGCATAATGACAGTAGGCCGTCTAGAATCTAAGGCATGGACCAGTAGAGACTGCCAGTCAGATTTACCAGTAAAGCACAATCAACACCCAGCACAACAAAATCATCATGCACAATTCTGCTCGGCTCCAGGCCCGAAATAGTACAGGATTCCTCGCAAATCTCTGCACGTCAATAAACCCCGAAGCCTCAACCATTGGGATAATATGCGGTAATATAGAAATATAGGGCTATTTTTGGAGGGGATGGAGGGGAGGGGGAGGGCGGAGGGGAAGGGGACAGTGGGAGGGGAGGGGGAGGGAAGCAAGCAAACAGCAACGCACCTAGAATGTTCTCTCCAGGGCTCCTGAATTTTAAGGGCAAGCCAACGGTCGCGCATCTGCACCTAGGCCTCTGATAAATAACAAAAGGCTGTTCGCACGCGTTGTGCAATTATTCCACCTAGGAACCCTAAAGTTCCCTACCCTTGGGCCGTCAAACTTGATTTGTGTGTTATGTGTTGTCTTTCGTGCTTTGTTGTGTTTCTGTATACGGTTTCCTATATGGTTCATAAATTTTCTAATCTTTGCGCGGATTCAAGCAGAATTGGCTTTAGAATTGGCTCGATGGCTTTAAGGGGCTGCGGCTAGGAACTGTGAAGACCCGCGAACCACCCAAGGTACTTGTCGATGTAGAGGAGGATCAAGCGGAAGTGCTCAGCGCTGTAGATCACGATTTCGGAATCCTCACGCTGGGGGGAATGGCAGGGGCATAACAGGATCAGGTGCAACGTTCTTGCGTGCGATCAGCTACAGCACGGCCCGGCATTTTTCAAGATTGCTTACGCGGTGCCATGCTGCAAGCCCACTTAAAGGGTTCCGAATTGGCGGTCACACGTTCGGCGGCGGCGGTGGCGGGGCTGCCGGCGGAGGTGGCAGAGGTGGCTTAGGTGGCAGCGCGTGCACTGGAGGTGGACGTGCGGCCTTTCGAGGGACCGCCAATCTCCCCATTACCTCTTGCGTAGCAGCCATCAACGTTCCAGCGAGTGGAGCCTGACGCCCCAGTGTGGGAACCCAACGCATCAATGTGGAAATCCAGTAAGATTGCTCTGATTGCTCGCACCCCGCTTCCTGCAACGACTGATGTGGCAACAAAAGGTTGGAGAACAACAGTGCTGCCACAAGACCATTGACCCTGGCTGCGATCGAGTTGCCGAGCTGCTCAACTGTTTGCAACCGGAGCGGGCCACCAGGTCTCAGTTCAGGAGGTAATGTATGTAAGCAGCCACTGAGTTCGCTTGGCTTCATGAAAACATCTAAAAACGTCACGCGACTTGCGCGCAGGTCAATCAGGATGTCTTCCTCGTGGGCATCCCACATGGTGTGGAGTTGCCGGATGAGGTAGCTCAACGCTGCTGAAACTTGGGCGGCAACCTTGCACCTCTGAAGTGGCAGCAACGCTGCTAGGCCACGATTCCAAGGTAAACCTTTTGCCAATTGCCACAATGTTGCCGAACCACAACTTCCAAAAGTTTGGACAATGTTGTCATGATGTAAACGCGAAGCACGACGGCACTCTTCCATGAGGATGCGGGGATTGTGCGGTCCCATGGGACCGTCCTTCCGCGGAAACTTGACAGCCATTCGTATCCTGTGACGGCACAAGTGGTGCACAGTTGCAAAACATCCTTGCCCAATCAGACCTCCAAGTTGCCCCAAAATCTCGGGCTCTTCATCAGGAAACAGGAAAACCGCAGCACGGTGGAAGTTGCGACGTTTGACCCACAGGTCCAGGAAGATGACACTTTGACAAACGACCTGCGTGAGCGTCGCAAACGTCTCAACGACCATAGCGAACGAGGTCTAGGGTTTAGGTGTCGGAGATGGTCACTGTGGGAAAAATTTGGGGACACTTGATGCCGCTTCGGGAAAGTATTTCGGGAAACACAAAGTTCAGGAACTCAACCCCCAACCCTAAATCCATCAACCCAAACCCTGAACCCTAAGCCAGCCAGTTCAAGTCTTTCACATCGATCACAAGTGAATCAGAAAATTGTTTGAGCCATCCCGGCTGTCCTGCGGCCACTTGTCTGCGTGCACACACAAACCAATGCACAACCCTGTTGCACGAAACAGCAGACATGACCATTGCAATAACATGCCAGTCCTGGAGCATTCCATGCCCTTGTCCACGGTGCCGATGGTGTCCGGCCGAGACAGGAAGTGGTTGGCTGAGGTAGTGGTTGGCTGGGATTCGATTGCCCCAAATGGGCAAGGGTTCCGCTAACTTATATAGGGATCATTCTTGGGCGCTTGGTCTGAAAGCACCCAATATATTATAGTATACTATAATATTCCCAGTAAGTTGTTCTCACCTATGCTGTCTCCTCGTCCAGCGGGAAGACCCGACACGTTCACTGTGCCAGAGAACATGTCACCTTGGTGCTGCACCCTCGCAGCGTATGGAACCCGAAACCAACTTTCACGAAAAGAACGAGGCAGCGAGAAAATCAACTTGAGACACATGAGCTACAGTCTAAACGTAGCATCCCCCTTAACAACCCCGATCATCGTCCGCTATATAATTCCCTCTATAACCCCCTTTTTAAGGAGTTTAGACTATAGCTCACATGGACAGCTCTGATGCAGTTGATAAGGTAGTTGCCCAAGATAGGGGGGACCCCAATAAAGACCCCAAAATGCCATAATCCGTACTATAAGGACACCCAAAAAGGTCCCCATAATTTTCGGAATCTCCAATAGGGGTCAGGCCTGTCGAGTACAGCGAGGTGCCCTGGTAAAGGCCTTGCAGTCTGGGGCGTTTGGGAGGGAAATGAAAAGAGTGTGCTGGTTTAGGTATAATGTATTATATACTATACTATACTATGTTATACTATACTACAACATGTTGGATATATCTGTATATGTATATATGGGTTATATGGGGATACTGGAAAATAAACTGGAAACTACTATTTAGGGTTTAGGGCTTAGGGTCCAGAGTCTCGAAAAGACAAGTGGTAGTTGATCAGAGTACGCTCTTATCCGATGCTAGGACAGAACCATGCACACAGGGGGGACTATTACATATCGGGTAAGACACATGCAAAAGCAAAAAGATGAGGTGCGGACCCTGCTTTGTGGCATCTGCCCCAAGGGTTTCATTAACTGCACGTTGATTCATTTTCCTCGGTTTGCAGAAGTCACATCTAGTCGGAAGAAGCAAGCTGTTTGAAGCTCCCGGCGCGACCAAGAGTAGCCACCAGTAGCCACCAAATCTACAACCATGTCTTTGAGCCTGGCTGTTGCGGCAAGTGTGGCGGCTTCCAAAACACTGCTGCACACCAATCTCTGCTTTGTGGCAGACACTTGAGCGCTGCCTTTTTGGAACTTGCAGGTTCGTGATTCGGTCTCATGGAGATGATGTGCAGGCACTCTGCAAATCCATAGTTGAGGCATAGTGGGGCCGAACATATGTAGCTATGCGGGGTTCCCGTTCACAGCGAGTGCCTCGCATCGCCTACCTACGAGAGCAAAAGCTCCTAGAAAAGCCCTCTTGGAATGGCTGTGGCAAGCCCACGATGCGCATTGGGAGCTCTGAATTTGGCATCGCTACTACAGATATGGAGGGCCTGTGGCAGGCCTCTTGTGGGGTGAGAGGTTACTTGTTGATGCCAACTTCGCCGCGAGCATTACATACCTCGGACGATTCCGGTCCCAGTCTCAGCTGAGCAAGGACGCAAAATAGAGTAAAAGAAACTTGCCAGCTCCTCTCTGGAAGTCTCAACCGCAGATGTCTACCTGTGGAGATGTGGTAGTTTCTGAAACGGGCGGGGCCCAACAGAAACCCCAACATAACCTTTGAAACCGGTTCAAGGGCAAGTGTCAGAGAGAGAGCGTGGTCAAAAAGAGTGAGACGCTTTGTCCATGAGATCCTCACCGGTGCTCCTCGTATAGATCCTTGTAATACATATATATATATGAGCTATAGTCTAAACTCCTAGTATCACCCTGAATATCCCCTATAGTAGTCCCCTATATAATCCCCTATATAACCCCCCTTTAAGGAGCTTAGACTATGGCTCATATATACTTCCCTCGAAGGAGCCCTAAACTGCCTGAAATTACCAAGACAGACACCTGCGAGATGCAACTGCCTGCTCACTGCGCAACAGACCCTCCAGGGTTATCCCAAGTACGGGCTAAAGCCCTAAACCCTAAACCATGAACCCTGAACCCTAAGCCCTAAACCCCTAAACCCAAATCCTCAACCTTAAACCCTCCAAGCGCAGAGTCCTACACACTACACCCTGAAACCCACACTTCATCCCACTCTGAACTGGGACAGATTTAGGGTTCAGGGGTATAGGGTTCATTGAGTTTATTTAGGGGTTTAGGGCCGATAGGGTTCAGGCTTTAAGGGTTTAGATTTAGGGGCCCAACAAAACTTAGATGTCGATGGCTTTTTATGTGAAAACTATGAGGATTGCAGGGATTATGGTCCATGAAGAATTAGAATCCATAGATTTTAATTCTTATGGACCATAATCCATGGACCTACCCTCAGGAATAGGGAGTGTGCTCCAGTGCGCACTCCTGTTTGCATCCAGTGCGCACTCCAAAATCAGCATCCAG